ATAAATTATGTATTTATATAAGGTTTCCTTCTTCAAATAATTGTACAAGTACAAATTATTCTTCATAATTTAGGAATCTAGCCATTAGATTTAAGGAAAATGCCATTTTTTAAAATATACTATAATCATCCTTAAATTTCTATTCTTATAAAAGAAATAAAAATTCCAAATTGCCAATGCTAAAAGCATTTCAGTTATAATATAATATTATCATAAGAAATTGCTAACATTATACATTATTAAGAAGTGCAAAATTTTAAATATATTTTATGACATTTTAAAAAATTTTTTAAACATTCGGTCATTTGAAAAACTATAATTGTATTATATTAACTATTTTAAAAAACAATAAACTATAGACTCATTATATTTGAAAATATATTGAATTCATTAGATAACAATTTGAAAGAACAAATAAATATTTTTATGATTTAAAAAAAATCAAGATTAAATTGGAAGCCTTTTTCTCTTTCTTATTATCTTTCAGTATGCTTAATTTAAGAACTTAATTAAATTTTTAAATATTAATTATTTTTTTATCGATATAATCAGCTTATATAAGAAAGAGTTTTATCTAAAAGATAACCTGAAATAATAAAAATACTTGGAAACTAAATCAAAAATAATTGTAAGATTGATAGTATTCAAAAATTTGTTTTGCTATTTTTTATTAAATAATTCTTTTTTTCTCATTATTAATTTAACCATAAAATATTTAATTTATTTAGTGATACTCCTAAGTATATATAGTCTTCTAGGAATAATTTTTTTGAAGTAGAGTTCTTTGGAAAATAGAAGATTTTCTTGAACTAAATTATTAAATTTTTTTACAATAGGATAAATTTAACTAGAAATTTGTTATTTTTATTTTAGACTCTAATTATAATATATATACTTAGGTTTTTATAGGGATACCGTTATGAAGAGAATATAAAGAATGCTAAACCTAAATGATTATAATTTTGGACTAAATAAAGGCAGAAAAATATTACTATTGAGATTCAAATGATAAAATTTAATGCTATGTATTTATTTAAATAATTAAAAATTAAAGAATTTAGATGTTCAAATACTATTAAATTTTTATTATCTAATGTTAATAAATTAATCACAATAATTAAATGAAATTACAGTAGTTTTGTTCTATTTTGTTACTTCAATTTCTAAGCATAGATAGTTTAGAAATATCTAAAAATTGCGTTTGTGGGCATGTTAGAAGTTAAAAGGAATGCAAAAGTTCTGGTATTTGCATTTGGGAAATGAATAGATGTAAATTAAACTCAGGCCAATATTACAAAATGGAAATCTAAAATTAGCACCACTGCAAATAATTTGCAAAAGAGGATTGTAGAGAATAAGAATAATGTGGCTTTTATTTGGGTTAATGTATTAGCTTTGATGATTGTCGAATTTTTAATAAAGATTATTGTTAAGAATCTTCATATAAATGTGTCTCTGATGGCACAAAATGTGTTAAAATGTTAGAATGTAATGATTATAAAACAGAAAATGGTTGTTCAAATAAAAATTAACATGGTAACTATTGCTTTTGGGTATAAGACAAAGAAAAATAATGTAGAGATGTTAAAATATGTTAAGAATTACCAATATATTTAATGAGTCATATTATGTGTAAAGAAGGTTTCGATTTTTGCACAGTAAGTGAGAAAGGTTATGGATGTATTGAGTAAATGGAGTAATGTTCATAATATATTAATGATTTTTAATGTTTTGAAACTAGATAAAACAAAAAGTGTTTTTGGAACTAAAAAAATGGTAAATGTGTAGAAAAGGTTTGTGAGAATCTACCATTTTCATAAGATTATGAATGTCAGTCGCATTTAAGTGATTGTACATCAAATGGAATTCATTGTATAAAAAGGAAGGAATGTAGTGATGCTTAAAATAAATTTGGTTGTTTTACAGACATTTAGGGTAAGAAATGTGAATATTATTAAAATGAATGTAAAATCAAAAGTTGCAGCACTGCTTCAAATTCCTTAACAAATTATTAATAATGTTAGGATTATGATAATTTATTAGATTGTGTTACTTCAGAAAATGGGGGATGTAAAAAAAGACCTGAAACATGTGATGGTTATATCAGGGAAATGGATTGTTATTCTAATCAATAATAAGATTGTGTATGGTATTACAATAAATGTGAATACAGATAATGTTATCATGCTCCGTTTTATTATAATCATACAGATTGTAAAAAATATGGAAATTGTATTGGAAAATTAAATGGTGGATGTTAAGTAACACCTTAAATATGTAATGAAATCTTAGAAGAATAATTTTGTGAATTTAATTATAACAATGAAAAGTGTTTTTGGTTAGAAGGTAATTGCATATTATTAGAATGTAGTATATTAAAATTACCATTTTATAAAAATCATTAAATATGTTAATAAGCAAGTTCATTTTGCACTTTTAATCTAGATTCTATAGGTTGTACAGATTATCTATGTGAAAATATTTTAGAAATTGAATATTGTTCTATTGATTCAAGTGGTACTATTTGCACATTGAACTAAGGGTGTATAAAAAAGAATTGTAAATCAGCACCTCCATCTTATGATACCAATGCAAAATGTGAAAATTGGTTATCAAATTGCACAGTTAATGTTTAAGTTTTATCAAATTCAAAAATTTTAATTGGATGTGTAGATAAATAGAATAGTTGTATACATGCTCTATAGGATCAATGTTATTCAACACTTTCAGGATTTTAGTGTAAATGGGATTAAATTGGATAAATATGTCTTGATCAAGTTTGTACAGATGCAAATCCTAATTCTTATTAAACTAATGAATTATGCTAATCATTTAAAGTATTTTTAGGTTCTTGCATAATTGGACCTACTGGAATTGGATGTTAATAATGGCCAAATGATTGTAATTTTATGGTGAGTTAATAATAGTGTTAATTAAATTTATAAAATGGAACAAAATGTTATTGGAATGGTAGTTATTGTAAAATATAAGAATGTTCAGATGCTTCTAAAATTAATTACACCAACAATGTAGAATGCAACTTATGGTTAGATTATTGTATTTTTGATCATGTTTAAGGAGGATGCAAAATGCGAATAAATTCAGTTGCTTGTACATCTTCACCAAACCATAGCATGTATAGTACTCATGAATAATGTTATGCATGGAATCCTAAATGTACTGTTACTTCTTCCTCTAAAGCAGAAGGATGTGAAGCAAAGAAAGAAAATTGTAATGAATATATTAGATAAAGAAATTGTTAAACGAATTTGCTTGGACAATATTGTTATTGGGATGATGCAGAATAAAAATGTAAAAATGAGGATGATGATAATAATGGATAAGTTGATTGTCATAAGAGAATTTATGGAGAATTATCTCATTAAGATTGTGAAACATTCTTACCTAAATGCACATTAAATGATATAAATAGAAATTGTGCAAATCTTTCATTAATATGTGATTATAAATATCAATAACAGTGTGAAATCACTTATGAACAATAACCTTGTAAATGGGATTTTTAAAATTAATTATGTAAAGATGTACCTTGTACTGATAATACTACTGCTAAAACCGAGGCTGAATGTTTAAAATTTAGAAAATATAATTAATGTTAATTAATTATTAATTCTAATGGAACATATGGACCTGGTTGTGAATGGAGACCGTCTTAATGTGGGTATATTACAAATCCTACAATATGTAAATTAACTTTAACTTTAAATGAACATAAATGTTATTATTTTAATTCTCTATGTTAAATTGTACAACCAAAATAATGTGAGTTCATTACTGATAGTAAAAGTAATGAAGTTTGTCAATTATATAATAGAGAGTGTATCCTATAATCAAGTGGATAAGGATGTTATTCTACTGAATCTTGCTTAGATTTATCTAATTAAATATGTAACAGTGCAATCATGTAAATTAATTAATAATGTAACTATTATGACAAATGTCGACCTGATATAAATTGTTCTGATAAATTTTTATCCGTTAATACTTGTGATGGCTTAAAAACACGATTAGGATAATTATGTCAGTATAAATAAACCTGTAGTTTATGTCAATTTTAATGTATTGGATAAACAACACGAAAGAATTTTAATTTTTCTAACATGAACCTTTCAGATAAAAGATAGAAATGTTAAGACTATTCATCAACTTATATTTATAATACAAGTTGTAATTGCTGTGTCTTATTAACTTCTTGTAATAGTGTGTAAGGTTCAGTGGCACATTGTAATTCATCAGTAGCTCAGTTAAGCTCTACTTTACAAAAATGTGGATATAATTCCACAAACTCAACTTGTGAGAATAGAAAATGTGAACATTTAATTAGTGTAACTTCAGATAAAGATTGTTATGATTGGAATTATGATTGTGTTCGTGGTACTACTGGATGTAAGACTTTCGCAGGTAATTGTACTGAAATAAAATTAATATACTAATGTTAAATATTTTAGTGCACTTGGTAAATGGGTAAATGCGTGAAAAATATTGATTGTCAACTTAACACAACTGCTATAACGAATCGTGAATGTTTATTAATAAATTCTACATATTGCAGATTAAATTACACAAAAGGTTAAGGTTGTTCCTTTATGGATTGCAGTTATATTACAGATTAAACTATATGTAATTAAACAAACATCATTAATGGGTCTAATTGTAAATGGTAAACATCCTAATGCATTAGAAAATTTTGTTCTGAATATATAATATAATCTGATTGTGAGAGTAGTTATGGTTATTATACGCATATAGTAGGAAAATGTTATTGGTGTTCAAATAATACAACCAAATGCTCTAATAATAAAAACTGTAATTTAGGTAGCATTATCTAACCTAAATCGCATTAAGATTGCAACGAAATAAATTTCATACAAACAATTTAATTTTCATTAACTTCAAAATGCACAATAAAAAAATAACTATGTTCAGAATACAAATATTAAGATGCTTGTGTAAGTAGAATTGATGGCATAGTCTGTTATTGGGATTCAACTGAATGTAAAAATATCTGTTAAGATCCATCACTTTCGAATATTACGAATGATAATTCTCAATGTTTCCTTTGGCGTCCATATTGTATGGCAGCAGTAGGTTCAGGGTGCCAATTACTCAACTGCTTATCTTTAACCACTAATTCAGAGTGTGATATTTTTATAAATAAATGTATTTGGAATGGATCAACATGTTAAACTATTGGTCCTTGTATTGATTACACTTCTAGCACTTTATGCTCGACTACAAAGAATTCCTTAGGAATACCTTGTTTTTGGGATGGTACTATATGCTTAGAAAAAACATGTTCAAATAAACCTACAGCCCCATTAATACCAACAGACTGTTAAGATTGGCTTGTTAATTGTTAATATAATAGTCCCAATAATTCATGTGTTGAAGATTGCACCTAAGCTAATGTTTTATATGAGGAACATTCATAATGTGAGTCTTTTTATTTAAATAAAAGTTGCACAGTCAAAGTTGATTTAATTCAATGTGTTGACCTTCCTTTTTCTTGTCCTTCAGCAAAACAAATTTAATGTTTTAAAGATAAATTTGGAAATGAATGCTATTATTAAGAATAATTATAACAATGTGTTAATTTAACTTGTTAAAATTTAGAAGCTTTTTATACAACTCATTAAAAATGCAATTAACGATTAAAATCATGTACAGTAAATTTAACCTTAGATGGATGCCAATAATTAGATGATTGCAATAACTATTTAAATTAAGAATAATGTAAGATTAGTAAAGATAATGTGGAATGTGAATGGATTATAAATTAAAATAATTGTACAATCAAGGAATGTTATACTGCTCAATTAATTTTATACTCAGCACATAGTTGTTAATAGTATTTTGGTGATACATGTACTGTAAATACAAATTTAGATGGATGTGAGATTGCTTAAAACTTATGTATGAAATATACATTTGAATAATGCAAAAGTGATGGACAAAAAAACTTAAGTGGAATTTATTGTTTCTGGGATGAAGGGAAAAGTACTTGCTTAGAAAAGATATGTGAAAATGGACCTGCACTTGCCTAATCTCATGAAGAGTGTATAGGGTTCCTTTCTACTTGTTAAAAAGGAGGTTGTAGAATAAAAGGATGTTTTGATTATAATTATGCTATTGATTCAGCTTGTGCTTCTATATTTGAAGATAAAAGATGTGTAACTAATGGATATCAATGTATTTTAAGAAATGCTTGTGAAGATGTTAATATTATTGATGGCTGTACATTTGATATTGATTATAATCCTTGTGTTTGGATTGATGATAAATGTTATACCAAAACTTGCTAAACTGCATCAATTACTTTTATTACATATTAGGAATGCAATTCATATTTGTCATATTGTACAGTTAAATAAGAAGGAGGATGCACTTATAAATAAAGTTGTTAGGATTATATAATCAAAGAAGCTTGCTTTACAGATAATTAAAATTAAGAATGCATTTGGGATGAGTATTTAAATTAATGCTTTTCCAATTTATGCATTGAATTTTGTGGAGATGGTATTGTCTCAAGCAAGGAAGAACAATGTGATGATGGAAATTATTTACCTTATGATGGTTGTTATAAATGTCAAATACATTGTCCATTAGGATGTAATTTTTGTAATGGTATTATATGTTAAGATTGTTAAAAAAATGGTTGGGTATTGAATAATGGTGTTTGTACTTCAATATGTGGAGATGGATATGCAGTAGGAAAGGAATTATGTGATGATGGAAATAATATTGAATTCGATGGATGTTATTAATGTTCTTATTCATGTCATCAGATGTGTCTCAATTGTTTCTAAGGATTATGTATTGAATGTCAAAAAGGATACTTAGAAGATGGATCATAATGTAATAATATTTGTGGGGATGGATATTTAATTTAGCATTTAGAATAATGTGATGATGGAAATGTTTAAAATAATGATGGATGTAGCAATACTTGTAAAGTTGAAATGAATTGGAAATGTCAACAAGATAATAATATTAGTGTTTGTAATTACGTTATTCTACCTAAGATTCTACTTACTAAACTCTCCAAAACAATCTCAGATAATCAAGAATTTAAATTATCATTTTCTTAACAAGTACGTTTGAATGTAACAGACATTAGTGAAGAACAATTTCTATAGATGATTATAGTTGTTATTGAAAATGCTTAAGATAATGAATATGATGTTGAAATTAAACCCATTAATTCTATCACTATTGAATTAACTGATGTAGCATATAAATTATTAGTTAATTTTAAATAGAATATTGAGAATCCTGTTTTAAAAGTAACAATAAAGTGTGATAATATTGTAGATATATGGGACAACACTTTATAGTCTAATGTAGCAAAGTTAACATTAAAATCTCCTTATAAAATGTCAAATGATCATAAATCACTTTTATAAAAAACTGCTCTTTTAGGTAGAATTGTTATGTATATCATTATGATTGTAAGTTGTGTTGCTTTTTTATTTGGCAATTTAGAAATTTTATGGAATCTGCTAGATATGCTACAATAATTATCATTTATGAAATATCACAATCTTCAATTTCCAGAAAACTTATAAATTTATTTTGAAATATTTACTATTGGATCATTTACTCCCATAATTGATATATTGTAAACAGATTTATTTTTACAAAATCTATTTGATTATTAAATTCCACTTATACCAGCCAAATGGAAATTCGAATATTATTAAATCAATTGTTATTTTTTATAAAACCTATTAACACTATTCTCTGTAGTGATATTGGGATTTGTCTATTTTGTAATCTCGTATTTATTTTATAAATTTCTTATAATTATTAAATATTAGAATTGGCCAGCTATATTTTACAATAATTATCCAGAATTTTTTTATAAGGTAATCAAATTTATTTTTTCACTCTAAAAACTGGCAAGAAAATAATATCAATATTTTATTTACTCTGGATTAATCAGAATTTATACATCTAACTTTTATGAATTGACTTTTACATCTATTTTACAAATTGTCAACTTAAATTTAGATACAACTATTAATACAATTATCTCTTTATTGGCAATAATTACATTAATATGTAATTTTTTCCTTATTTATTTTGTTTTTTCATATCTAAGGAAAAATGATAGAGTAAATAAAACTGTATCAGTTTTAATAGAAGGAATAGAAAATAAAATAAACTAAGGAACTAAATAATATTTTACTATTTTATTATTGAAAAAAACCCTTTTCATTATTAATATTGTTGCATTTTAAGACCTTGTAGCTGCTTAGAGTTTAATTACAGCCTTGGTATCAGGAGTATTTTGTTGCTATATTAAAATTTATAAACCTTTTGAGAATAAATATGAAAATACTAAATTATTCATAACAGAAATTCTGATTATGTTAAATACTATAGTCTTCTCTATATATGAAATTATCAAATCTAATGAAGAAAAAGAATAAACTGAATTATTAGGCTGGATTAATGTAGCAGGTTTCACATTGATTCTTATTTTAACACTAGCAATTGATGTCTACTAACAAATAAAAAAATACTTTAAATTGATTATGTTTTAATTTAATTAATGCTTTGCTAGTTAAAAGAACAATCCAGAATAAACAAAAAAGATGATATGCAATATTTGACTATTGAAAAATGAAGTAAATAATAAAATAGAATATTTTATAAATTCAAATATAATTTTTTGATATTATTCCCTATAATATATTGATTATATATCAAGCTTTCTTAATAAAATCCACTTTTATATTAGTTATTTTTATTTTTGAGTTTAATTATCATAGTGAGATTTTCATTCAAAAAAATTTTTGACTAAAAATGTTTAAATCCTCTTTAATTGTGTACAATTCAAAAAATATTCATTTAAGTTGAACTTATATTATTGTATAAAGGAAGTATAATCTTCACATGAAAAAAATGATTCTTTAAAGTTATTATATTAAATAAAGTTTAAACTATAATTTTATTAGAAATTAACAAAAATATATTTTCTATTATTATTTTTGAATTCTATTAAACTGAAAAATTTTTGATAATAATTAATATTATTTTTAATGTCTCAATAAAGAAATACATTTTGTCCACATCATAATGAAGAATTCCTTGCCATTGAAAAAACAGAGTCAGATAAATAAGAAAAAAAATTATGTTTACGATGCTTAGCCAATGGGTATAAAGGGAATGTTGTTATTATTGATAAATAAATTTAAAATGTCTAGATCATGAAAACTCAACTTATTTAATCAAGATAAGAATAGATAAAAATCAATATAGACTAATTAGAAGATTTGATAAAAAATATTGCTACACTCAAATAGTTCTATGATGATGAAATAAATAAAATTTCTACATGTGTGGAAGAATGGATAAAGAAATTAAAAAATATGAAGGATTTATTTGAAGAAAATATTAATAAACAAGAAGTGAATGATTTGTAAGAATTTTTAAATTCTATAAATTAATTTCAAAGTACACAAATTAAGGAATTATCATAATCTAAAATTGATATTAATAAATTATTATAATAGCTAAAGGAACCAGATATATTATAAGCATGTGATTAAATTTTAATAAATTTACAATCATTTCCTTATTTATTTCAGGAGGTAATGGTGGAAAAAGAATCAGAAAAAAACAAAAAAGTGGTAAAATTTTATTTATTAATTTAGAAATTAAATATATTTTGTAAAGAACATCAAAAAAACAGAATAAAATTTTTTGATTTGCGGTCAGAGAAAATAAGTTCTAGGAGTTTAGCTTGTGATTAATGTTTTGATGATTATCCTTCATAAACTTATAAAAGTGTTAAATTTGCTCGTAAATAATGGAATAATATTGTAAAAGAACAGCAAAAGAGTATGTAAAATAATTTATTAAATGTGAACAAAACAGTTTATGTTATGAATCAAGAAATGAAATAGATATAAAACTCTATAAAGAAATCTTATGAGAAATATTATTAGAAGTATATTACTAATTATAATTAATATGAATTAAATGTTGAAAAAATGAAATAAGAAATGAATATACCATGGGAATTGTTAAAAGAAGATAAATTGCTAAAAATAGTTGAAGATATGAATAAGAGTACAAATTCTGATGATCCCCTTCTAGTTTAGTATACTGAATAAAATGATTTAGTAAATCAATTAATGATAGATAATTTTCTGTCTTTGTAAGAATGTACATTTAATTAAATTAAGAAATTTAATCCACTCATATAGAATTAAATATTTGAATAAATGAAAAAATAATAAAAATAAAATCAATCAAATCATAATTTAATTGAGGAAATTAAAGATGAATAAAATATAAGAAAAATTACTAAAAAAAATTTTACATATCATCTCATAAAAGAAAGTTCAATCAAAGAATAGTAATAATGTAATGCAATGGCTTTTAATAAGGATTGTTCAATAGTATTGGTTGGATGTAATTAATAAATACAAGTATTTGAATTTAAATAGGGAATGATGAAATAAATTTAAATCCTTAAAGAACATGAAAATAATGTCATCACTTTAAATTTTATGAAAAAGTCTAATTAATTTATCTCTGGAAGTGAAAAAGATGGATGGATTATAATTTGGTCACTGAATTCAATTAATAATTAATGGATTTTATAATAAAAACTAAAAAAACATTCAGTAGGAATAATATGTTTAGTATTGAATGAAAATGAAGATCTATTTGTATCAGGTGGCTTTGATAACAAAATAATATTTTGGGGCAAAAAGAATTAATGGATATTGGAATAAACATTAGACCAAAAATAAAGATTATATGCACTAAGCATAAATGAAGAATAAAGTAGATTGATTATATGTTCTTTCGAGACTGAAATATTTATATTGGAATTTTAATAATAAAAATGGATTATTTAATAGAAGATACTAGTCTAATAAAAAGCGATTAGAATTAGCTTCATTTCTAATAATTTATTCACAGTCTAATCATTCTAAAATGATTTATTGGATATATATGAAATGGAAAATTAATTGGGATATATTAATACTAGAGGAATTATAATTATGCGTGGTTGTGGTTAAGAAGAAGAATGTCTATTTTTTCCTTCATAATATATTAAGTCAAAAAATTTGCTTGTAATTAAGAATTGCTAATATATAAATTTAATCAAAATTAAAGAAAATAGAGAGTTTCTAGTTGAGAATTCTATTTAGTATCAAACTAGTAAGCTATACGGATCTATAAGTGATGATGGGGAATATCTTATAACCTGGGATCAAGTATCAAAAGAAATACAAATTAGAAAATTGTAAGAATCATGAAGATGTGAGTTGTTAGATCATAAAAATATTTACAAATCATATAAAAAACTATTTTTCATTAATTTATGAATCAATTTAAAATTTTTATTAAAATGGGAATAAATGTTTGAATTATTAAATCATATAAAAAAAACATCCATAAATAAAGATGTAAAGACAAATGCTATTACAGTAAAAATATCAAACAAAGAAATAAATTTGTAATTCAATATTTTTTTCGCATCTTACTCATCAAAATCAAAGTTTTAACTTAAAACAAATTTCATTTTGATAACTTTCTACTTTTTATTAATGATTTATTTTCTCATATTTTATTCATGTTTGATTAAATTATTACCCAATCCCATCATAATAACACTATAAAATAAAATTAATGATTCTCAGAATATTCATTATTAGACTTAATTAAAAAAGTTAATTAAAGCTTTTGTTTATAAATAGCAAGAAACCCCTAAAAATCAAAAAAATCTTTGAGATAATTTTTAATTATCATAAGCCAAAAACTCAAAAATGAATAAAAATAGTAGATTTAAATGATTCTGAAACATAAAATAAGTATTTTTTAAATGAGTATTCATTCCGAAATTTAAAATTTATTTGATATATATTACCGTTATGAATTAATAACTACTTGTTTGATACACAAAATTTTAAAAGTATATCCATTTGACAATAGGGTCTCTATAAATTTTAATTTTGATTATAAAACCTTATAATAAAACTCTAAGTTTTACGTTTCTAATAAGCTTAAAGATCTTGATAATATTCAATTAGAAATTCCAAAGTCAGTAAATTTGTCATTTGGTGCAATGCCATTTATAACTAAAATTTGAATGTTTGTTATCTAAAATAGGACTATTGTTTTGAGGAGTATATTAGATAGAATATTAGAAAAGAATTGAATATAAATAATGATAGACTTTTCTGAAGACCTCACTTGTATCGATTGGTCGCTTCTTAAGGTTCATTTATCCCAAATAAATTATACTACAAGATTTAAACTCAATCTAAGAGGGCATGAAATTAATGTTAGGTGTTTAATATTAATGATATTTTCGAATGATAAAATGATAAATATGTTTGTTATGTTAGCGATATCAATTTTAGTACGATTCAGTTAATAAAATACTCTTGTTTTATAAGAAGTATACTCCTTATTAAGTTATAAATTCACACTTCGAGTTTGAAGCTCCTAATGCTTACAATATTGTCTTTTCAGAGGAGAGGTTGTAATAATATTAGTAATATTAATATTAAATACTTCATTTTGGAAATGGATTGTTTTAAAGTCACTTTTCTGACCATAATGAGTTACTTGCAAAACTAGATACTAATGAATGACTTTTAAGGCAAAATAATAAAAAATTTAAATTAGATGAACATAATAATCATGTTTAGTCAGTATGCTACTCTTGTTTCAACATTTCATAAATGAACTAAATCATTATAATTACTTGATGCTAATGTAGTACAATTAGGAGAGAGAAGCATATAACATTGCAGTTCCACTATGTTCTACTAATTTAAATTTTTTATTATCTAATCCCATAGTTATCCACCCTAACCGAAGCTAAAGTATTTCTGTCCGAACACGAATTGTATGACCATCCAATTTGTTGAATTAGTTTCACTTTATTTTTTCCATTCTCAATTAAGAATTACAAAAATTATATGATCTTCTTAGTTTCTCAGTTTTTTTACTGAGATTCTCTATAATTTCTTTATAAACTTCAATGGAATAGTCATTTTAATTAAAGTCTTATTTATAAATTTTTTTAATCCCATTATTATTTTCTTCTCTTGTTTCTTCTAAAATATTTAAAAAAATTCTTAACAATCTGATATCTCTTCTACTTTTATAAAGATCTACTTTCGCTTCATAAATAGGCCTATAAGATTATTAATATTTTTACCTGGTTCATTACAGATAATTAGGAGTAAATTGTAGAGCAATTTCTGTAGTAACTTGAAGAGTTTCCAGCAAGTAAAACTTAGTCTTTGGCTAATTAATGTGTCCTTTATCTAATTTTTAATTGAATCAATAGCATTAATGATTCGATCATAGGATTTCTAAAAGTTTACTATAAAGGCACAATATTTAATAATATTAATTGTTCCAAGTTCAAAATTTATTGCTTAAACCCTGTTTTTTTGGTTCAAAGAACTTTTTGAACAAATATAGAGAATCCTTTTACAAATTATGTAAATTAAGATATTTTAATTAAAAGTTGAATAAATTTTCTTTTTGATTAGAATGACATAATTCATCATAAAACTATACGTATCGAATGATAAGAAAAATTTTGATTTGTTAAATTAAATAACTTATAAATTTCTGTTTTATCACATAAAATAGACTGTTGAAATTTGTTATTAGTTATTGATTATCATGTTTTCATTATTATTAGTATATTGAATCTTTATTCGAATTAATCTTAATTCAATTAATAATTTGCTTCTTTTATTTTTAATAATTAACTTTTTACGAGTATACAATCCTTTATTAGAGAGTAAATCTACAACTAGAATATGAATATTTTCAATAAAATAAATGAGACTCATTCAGAAACTTTAGTTTTATTAGAGTTCATTATTATATCATTCTTTACTTTTGAAAGTTAATAACTTTTAATATTAATCAAGTTATAATCTATAGATGTTGATAGGGTTTTACTTTAGTATTGGAGGATAGCTCTCCATCTGTTTAATTTATTTCACTAATATTGTAGATAGTAGAAAATTATAATTTACAATAAACTATTGTGTCTAAATTATAGGAAGCTTAATAGTTAACAAGATTCGTAAGACCATCGAATAGAATCAATTTACGAGGTTTAGAATTCAAAATAAGTTATTATTCATAATTGTCAATATAAAAATAGTAAAAAAGATATACATCAAGAATAAAGTAAAGAAAATAAAAAATAAATTAAATTTGATGTGAATTATAAATTATAGAAGGTGATGGAAAAAGGGTTTTAATTGACAAAATTTTGTTATAATTATATGAAAAATAAAACTATTTGATCATTGTATTGCAGAGAATCATTCTGCTTTTTTTATCCATATTTATTACCTTAGAATTTGATTTTGTAGGTAACTCTTATATCAGTATGCTTCTCTCCTGATTGTGCTTTATTCTTAACATTGTACCTACTAGGTCTGAATTTGGATAACATTTGAGTTAAATGAAAAAAATCTTAGTATTTGTAATCAAATGGGAAAAATTTTAATCACGATCATTAGTGATATTTAATAAATATTGATATATTTTCTATTTTTAAATAATTCATTTCAATACAAATACTTTAACTTGAATCATCAATATTTTAAAAAGATATTAATTTTAAAAATGTCTCATATAAAACTGTTTGTAA